AAATCTGTTTTTCCGTTAGTTAGGTAATCATTGGCTGTCGCGGGCCAGATTGATGACAGTAAATCATTGGCTGTCGCGGGCCGGATTAATGACACTGGCGGGCCGGATTTGGCCCGCGGGCCATAGTTTGGAGACCCTTGGTCTAGAAGATATAGTAACTCGTCCTTAACAAGGTACTTACCTTGCCACTCGTGCCACCACCCATAATGATTGTGTATGCTAATCTTTCTCTAAGCATGTAGCCTATCCTACAGCTTGTGCGTCGATCACTCTTCTCCTTGGCGCCTAGATGATTGATTCTGGAGACATATTATCAAGAGGCCTTCTACAAGGCCTGTTTCACCAAGATTTGACTTTCTCTAAATCAGTCTCGATTATATTTTTCAGAAAATCTGCTTGTTGTTGTTCCTCATCAGTACTAACATGATCAAAAATCATCATCAGCCTCTAAAATGTCATAGTTCCCAGGTTAACTCCCCTCGAACCTTTTGCCTCCATGTATTTTCAAGATATTATCGTTGTCTTCTTTCACTATTTCAAATGATCCGTTCATGAGTTGATGAGTGTAACAGTAAGAATTTATAATGTTTGTAACTAAGATTTAACACAAATCAAATATACATTTAGTGAGCAATATTTCACAATAGACAGATATCATAATTCCTCAATAAACAACTATTCGTCACATAATTTCTTTACCATCTGAATAAAAGTAGCTTCAGTAGACAAGACTATTTCTGGAGATAATGAACGAATACATTTTTCTTTCTTTTATCAAATTGGTGTTATTCGTGGAGTGTCTGAGGTTCGTAACAATGTGCGACTGTTCCAACATCCTAGGGATAATGCCAACAGCTTCTTTGAGTCATCAGATACCATTTCATCCTTTATGGAGAGAACTTTCACTCAGAGGCCATCAGGTTACTGTCCTGACTACAGATCCTATGCAAGACCACTCCCTTACAAATCTGACTGAAATACATATGAGGTTTTCGTATGATTTTTTCGAAAAGGTGAAGTTCTATGAAACTTTAGGTGATGACACAATGAATTTTTGGGATCAGGGAAAGTATCTACAAAACATAACAATAGATTATACATATTTGATCCTCCAAAGTGAAGAGGTTAGGAATCTCTTGAAGAGTGGAAAGAAATTCGACTTGGTGATAGCAGAAGCATACTTTCCAGCAATAATAGGATTGATAGGAAGTTTCAGATGTCCATGGATTGGCGTTTCCTCAATGGATCCGGCTATGTATGTACATGTGGCTGCTGGAAATCCAAACCATCCCATTTTGAATCCAGATTATAACTTGGCAATTGAGGATCCTACTACCCCATGTTTCCTCGACAGAGTGTTCAGTTTTATTTATCGTGCTGCCTATATTTACGAGTTCAATACTAATTTACTGCCAATTTTGACTGAAATTTATGAAGGGACCGTAGAAGATTTACCTCCTTTCACCGATATTCTCAAAAATATCAGTATGCTGTTCACTGGAACGTCGCCGATTTTTCAAAATTTGAGGCCTGTTTATCCAAATACCGTTGCTCTTGGTACGGGGATGCACCTTTCGAAACCAAAGCCACTACCGAAAGTAAGTTTTCAACAGTTTTTTTTCAGATATAGTATATTCTATCCTGATGTATTGTTGACGCCAGTTTTGTTTTTCGTTTATGTTCTGGTTTCAGAACAAACGGGTTAGCCTAGCAGCAAAATATCTGAAACATCATCAAGATTACAATGATCGAAAATTACAAATATGTTTAATGTTTGAATTATGTTTTTTCGTTAACCAGTTGTCGCACCCCTACGAACGACAGCTCTCAGAAGTCGAAACTTGTGTGAGCTAAGGACTAACGAGGTCTTACTTTTTAACGTGTGATTCCTAACATAGGTTGAACCACGTCGAACCGACTGATCTATGTGAATAACTTGACATTTAAAAAAAATTGTGAAACTAGTGAAATTTCTTAGACATTCAAGTAAAAAAATAGGCATGAGAATAATATATTTGTAGGAGATACTAATAATAATATCCTGGACAAATGTGATGGTGAAGATAATGACTACTTTCTGGAATTGACCTCCGAACTTCCTTATAAAGTAAGAAGGAGATATTAAGAGCAGAAAGTTGTTGGTTCACAGATGGATCAAAAACACCTTCCAGTTCTGGTGCAGGTGCAGTTCTGGCATCGCCAATGACAACTTCTGCCAAACAAAGATTGAACACCTGGATGGCAAGAAGATTCAAGGACTTCTGGCAGAATATTCCAGGATTGGCTCACTCCTAGGCGTTTATTCATCCTTCGAAGCGAACGGGCCTTCTTACAGGTCACTGTCATTTGGATCATCGTATGCAGAGACTCGGACTGTCGGAAGACAGTATGTATCGCCTCTGTTTGTAAAATGATGAAACAACAGAGCATATACTTTGTGCTTGCCCCGCTGGGGACCAAATCAGGTTTTTAGAGTTCGGCAGAGGCGTACTCTCACCATATGACCTGAAAGACCACTCACCATTCAAACTAATCGGCTTAGTTAAGAAGCTGGGTTTATTTGGTCGAGTGTGAATAGGTGTGAGCCACAATAAACCCTCGCGTGTTGCGGTGGAGGGTAGAATAGACCCACTCACTTTGAACCTAACCTAATTATTACAAAACAAACATGAAAGAATGTAGATATAAAGTTATATATAAATTAGAGAAAATGAATACAAATGGAAAAACTGTTTTTACCTAGGACACTACCTAGCACTGACAAAAGACCAAATATCCCGAAACCAGCCTGCCCGTTTCAATAATTGAAAATCGATTCCTGCAGTTGTCTTAACAACAGCATATGCAGAAAATAAGTTTTGTGAAGATTCCTGCACTGACGCCTTTTATAATCCAACGCTCTTCGTGGTATTAACCAGGGGAGTAGTGGTTTCCTGATAGGTGTCAGTTCATGCACCTACTGTATAGGTAAGGAAAGACTGGCCTGAACAAATTGTTTAAAATCTGTTCAAAATCTGTTTTTCCGTTAGCAAAGGTGTAATATCCAGGTATCCAATAAATATCTTCTACTCGATCAAATGGAGTGGAAACATTTTTCATTTAAATTTCTTTCAGGATGGATTACTTTCATTTCGTTTTCATAGGTTCACCAAACGGCGCTTTTTCTATACAGGGGTAAACATAACTCTTTCTTAATTTTTCCTATTTACACCCTATGAACCCTATACGCCTCATGTAAACCGTGTACATAGGGCCATCCCTATGGCCATCCCTATGGCCCTATGTACCCTTGGGATTGACTACTCTATTTCTATCCGAAGTGTATCCAATTCTTGGATACAGTGCAGGACATACAGTGCAGGACATACAGTGCAGGACATACAATGCAGGACAAAACAAGTAACGAAATGAAAACGAACAATTTCAAAACGCACAAATTCACAATAATTGTTCGAACAATATATCATTTTGAGCTATCAACAATTTCTTTTCAAACTTCAATCAAAATTGATTTTGTGATAGAACCAAATACTCTGGATAGACCTCTGGATAGATCTCTTTCAACATATCCCCTTAGACGGAAATCTAGAGGCGTGAGGTCTGGAGATCGTGCTGGCCAGTGAATGAGTCCATTTCTTCCAATCCATTTGTTCCGACGCCACCTGTTCAAAATCTTCCTTATCCGATTTTGGTTATGGGGAGTCGCGCCATTATGTTGGAAATGTTAACTTATGCCAACAAATTTGATAAATAACTTCGAAGAAAATCTCAATAAATTTTTCCATTCAGAGGCACATCAAAAAAATATGGTCCTATGACCTGAACCCCAATCACGCCCCCCAAACATTTATCGAACATGTGTTCTGGTTATTAACTTCTCTCACCAAATGGGGGTTCTCTGTTGAGTAATAGTGCATATTATGTTTAATTACCATGTCATTACTTTTGAATATGGACTCGTCAGAAAACAAAACATATTTCAAAGAATTCGGTTTTTCGCTAATTGTATTCAAAAAATTTTTGGTATGGGTGAACTTTATTTTTTTTAAAAAATTGTTGAATTTCTTCAGAAGTTGATGTTTTTGACTGTTTTGGAGCATATTTTTCAGATTTGCGTTTTAAAAATGCACATAGTTTTACGTATTTTGATATATCACAGTTTTTTTTAATTAAGGTACTCCTCAGCATCAAGTACTGAAACCATAATGTTGATGATTTCAATCTTTTTGACAACTCTTCAAAATAAACTAACAAGATATTTTCGGAACAAGAATTTACCTTGACTTTCATTTTCCAGTCCATAAAGTTTCTGTAAGCGATTTCAAATTTATCTCTTGATGTGCTTGGGAGCAATTTATTGCAAATATCTATTGCTGGCTGAACAATTTCTGGAGGTGTATTTTCCAACTGTAAATCTTCTATTTATACTATGACAATCAACAATAAACCTATTTTCGTTGGTTAAGTTGACAGCAATAATTATACAGTGCTTCGGTTTTGTTGTTATGGAAACGCCGACAATAGGCTACTTGGATATTGCACGCGGATCGTCGGCGTAGCGTTGTCAACATGGAGAACGTGTCATATTAATCTGACATGTAACAATTCATGACTGACTTGGGTTATCGTGATAACAGTGATAAATTATTACTCACTGTAATGGCGGATATTTCTCACTGCATGAGAAATCTTTCGTTTTAAACGTATGAAAGCGATAAGAGAAGTGGCACATTGTATAGCATGCGTAGAAAAAGGACATTTCCACAGGAGCAGACCTAATTTCCTTAGATTTCTATTATTTTGTTAAGAGATTGGCCTGCTGCAAAGAAAACGAAATTAGAAGACAAATAGATTGATTCAAAAAGTTTTTTTGATCTATTACAATCTGTCTGTTTGGAATCTGTTTTTCCGTTAATCAGCTGTCGCCCTCATACGAACGACAACTCTCAGAAGTTGACAAACTTGTGCGAGCTAATGACTAACGAGGTCTTACGTTTTAACGTGTGATTTCTAACACGGTTGCAGAATATAAACAGTAATTAAAGTTCGAAGAGAAATTGTAGATAGATTCAATTAATGACTTTTTCATACTATTCATGCCCTTTTTTTGATACACCCTGTATAAAAGTACTCAACAGAGAACCGTCGATGGCTGCTGATGAAAATATTAAAGTTCAGTTAGTCGCAAACTATCATGCCACACACGATCAAAGTCCTGGAAACATTTCATTGTTCCAAAGGTTGGTGGTATTTGTGAAAAACTGCCTCTTGATCTTTGCTCTTTTACATAATCCTATAAATATTTTGAAGTAATCTTTGAACGTCTCACCTGACTACAAATCTTTTTGAACAATATATTTATTTGATGATTTCACACCTGTACGAACAGTTCAAGTGTGTGTGATCATACGTCATCAATCATTGAGATAAGATAAGTCCACGAAAATCATAATTGCCAATAACTATTTCATAGTGAATCGCCATGCTCCTTATATTATTATGTGTCGCTCAAAACGTACTCCAAATTCAGTCTTCGAAAATATTGACCATCATACCAACCGCCTCGTACAGTCATCATTCTCCATTCCAACCGCTATGGAGGGAACTGGCCTTGAGAGGCCATCATGTGACTGTCCTGACAACCGACCCCCAGAAGGATGAATCACTCACTAATCTCCGAGAGATTGACATGAGCTACACTTACGAAATTTACAAAAAACACAACGTTTCGGACTTGCTCAGCGATGACAGCAAATCTTTCATGGAGATGGGTAAGAAGTTGGGGATTGTGTTCAGAGAAGCGCAGCATGCTCAGTTATCATCTGCCGAAGTACAAGAGCTCATTCACAACAAGAACTACTCATTCGATCTGTTGATAGTAGAAGCACAGACTCCAGGAATGCTCTCTTTCGCTTGGAGGTTTCAGTGCCCAATAATCGGAGTGGCTTCTTTGGATAGCGCTATGCAGTACCATGATTCCATGGGGAATCCGATTCACCCTGTGCTCAACCCCGATTACAATTTGGAAGTGGGAGAAGCAGATGAGATGACTTTTTTGGAGCGATTTCTCAGTTTCATTTATATAGCTGCATATAAGAACTTGATTTATCACAAGACCTTTCCAGCTCAGTATGAGATAGCGAAGCAATATTTTGGTGAAGATTTGCCACCTTTGATAGACATTCAGAACAATATGAGTTTGCTGTTTGTTGGAACGCATCCCCTTTTTCATAACTTGAGACCTTTGAATTTAAACACTATTACTCTTGGAGGAGGGATGCATATCAAACAACAGAAACCTTTACCCGAGGTAAGAAGCAACTTTATATTACCCAGTGGAAAAATTACACAGCTGAATTCATTTACAAAGCAATGAAAAATATTAACCTCATAAGATTCATTCTTGAAGAAAAAATTCAGTTAGGTAAAATAGCATCTGAATGTTAACTGAATAGGTAGAATTGAAACCTTAAACATATATAATGGATACATTGATGGATGTAGCCGTTACTACATGGTGGGAGATCATAATGAAAAGAGAATTAAAAATTTCTATATCTTTTACCACTTTCATTTGTAACTAACGTTACTGCAGTTTCGTCCTATATGGACATTCTCAAACTTATACAATAAACTAACAATGATTCATTACATTCGCCCATATATACCATTCAGGTACTTGATTGAATACCTGCATTTACAGTTCACAATGCGGAAGTGCCAATTTAAAAACCGGAGAGCAAATTAAATCGATTTGGTCATTTAACAGGTTGCACCCGCAATGTTTATGTCTCTGAATTTCCAAGGATTCTAAATAATTGAGTTTGCAACCCTTCCTTGCATAGTGCAGAATTTCCATATCGTTTAGATTCGGAAACTTGTGGTTGCATGCCAAGGAATGGTTTGAAAATGTCGAATCATTTTTTCCTACTCTGAAGGACCTTTCATGTTCAGCATACTGTAATAAATCTGAAGCCGGCCCTGACCGATATCTCAGCTAGCAAACGCATGACATCACCGCGAAAGAAGCGGTCTGACTTGCCGGGAAAATACTATTCGATTGCAGAGACCTCTAGATAAATCTAGAAAGATCGTTAGCGGTATATAAGCCCTGCTTCCCGTCCATATAGGGAGTCACCGGGGGTCGACTCAATAACTAACAAGTTGTTGAAGAAGCTCCCGGACAACTGCGTCGAGTGCTTACTAAATATAATTAATAGTTCGCTAGCCCTCAGACACTTCCCCAGTAGATGGAAGCATGCGGTCGTTGTCATGATCCCAAAACAGGGTCAGAACCCGCTGTTCCCACAGAACTATCGTCCGATAAGTCTACTCTCTTCGGCGGCTAAGCTGGCTGAAAGAGTTGTTCTCCAAAGGCTCAACGAAGAAGTTGATGACCGAAATGTTCTGCCTGATGAACAATTCGGCTTCAGGAGAGACCACTCCACTGAGTTACAGGCTCTAAGGCTGATCGAAAATACAATCAGCGAGTTGAACACTAATAAAAAAAGTACATATCGTCTTATTAGATATCTCGAAGGCCTTCGACCGAGTTTGGCACGAAGGTCTTCTGCACAAGCTAAACGCGTTCGACCTACCTCGGGGCCTTGTCCGGTGGATCGGGTCCTTCCTGAAAGACAGGACATTTCAGGTTAGAGTAGAGGGATCTCTGTCTGATAACAGAGAGATCCTTGCTGGAGTGCCACAGGGGGCCGTGCTCTCTCCGACGTTGTACTCACTTTACACCAGTGACCTTCCGAGGCCCGAGCGTGTGAAGATATCTCTTTACGCCGATGACACGGCTCTCCTCTCATCTTCCATGGGTCGGGAGCTCGGTTTCGTCTATATGCAACGTGCATTGGACGACCTCGAGCGCTGGTACCTTGATTGGAAGATCCGAATGAACCCGGATAAGACTCGGGCAATAACCATGGGAAGATTGAAATCTTCTCCGGCCAGGAAAGTGAGAATCTCTGGAAGGGAGATTAACTGGCAAGCGCGGGTAAAGTACCTCGGCCTTCTAATAGACCGTAGGCTTACTTGGAAGCCGCACATAATGTCCGTCAAATCTAAGATCGAGGGTCGGATAGCACGTCTGTACCCTCTAATGAATAGAAAATCAAAAATGAGTCTAAAAAACAAAATTACCATCTACAATACGATGTTCAAGTCTGTCATCATGTATGCTTCAGGCGTCTGGGGGGACAAGCGGCTCCGTCCAACATTTCCATTCTGGAAAGGTTACAAAACAAGCTAATAAGGAAGATTGTGAATGCTCCTTGGTTCGTGCGGAATGAAGCCATCCGCAGAGATTTGCCGATATAGAAGGCCCCGACACTCTGTCGTATGAGGCCCCTATTCCCTCCGATAAAAGATGAACAACGTTTTCATCCAATTCACCCCATCCAGGCAGGGGTACATCGTGAAGGGCGGTACTGATGTCTGAGGACATTCATGCCGCCATACCATTTAACACCCATTCAGTTATAACCCGTTTGTCTTTCTGGCAAACATCAGTTAAAAGGGGAAGGGAGCCAGGCTTCAATCTGAAGAAAATCAAGATGGATTTCGGCATATAGGGAGTCGGTATCTAGAGAGCGAATTAAGCGGTTAACAAACAGTGAAGATAAGTTAAGCGTTAGTTGCTAAGTGTTGTATATAAATTAGTTGTGAAAGTGAAATATTGTTAAAAATAAATTTGTTCAAGACAGTTAATTCTTTAATTCGTTATAATAGCGTTTTTGGAAATTTCGTCTGCATTGTCCCACATAAACACTATTACACTCATAAACTCCAGATTTTTTCAACTTGTCGACCTTATCTTTGGCATTGAAAAGGAAATGAGATAACCTTGCATGTGGTCTAAATGCTACTTCCACATTGTTTTTCCTGAAAAAACCTGCGATTATTCCTGTTCTTTTTCCAAAATATATTAGCATTACCCATTTCTTGATTTCTGGTTGTTTGATCTAAGGATATATTAATCTGTAAGTGAATTTCCGGCTTTGTTTCCTGATTAACTTATGGATAGTATCTGCGTTGAAACCATTATTATGACGTATATGTGTAATTATATCAATTTCCCTAGCTAGACTGTCTACAGACAAAGACAGTGAATATGCTCTGTGCAACATTGACTTGTAGGCTGCTAATTTATGACTATCTGGATGGGAAGAATCGCTTGGGATGGTGATGTCTGTATAGCTAGGTTTCCTGAAAACATTGAACTCGAATTTATTCTGTTTGTGTGTAATGGCCAGGTCTAAGAAATTTATCTGTTTCTCTATCTCTGTTTCGAGTGAGGACTGAATGATGCTATTGACTTAAGACTCATTTCAGGTTCATTTTCCATTCATTTTCTCAGGTGATTCGAGGTTCAGGTTCAAAATACGTCGTGCTCTCTTAACAAATGTTTTACTCACCCCTCTCTTTTGTTGTGACTGGTGGTTGGAGTTATTGTTCAAGTACATGTACATATGTTGCGGTTTCCTGTACACTCTGTGGCCCAGTGCACCATCTTCACGTCTGGCCACAGGAACATCCAAAAAAGCTAGAGTCCCTTGGATTTCTCGTTTCATTGTGAATTGGATTTTTGGCCCAAGAGAGTCTAGATACAATAGAATTTTTTTTATTTCCTTATGAATGGCTGCAATAGGGTTGCCAAATATTTGGCCAGCTCATTATTTGCTGAACCTATCAGACATAAAACTTGCAGACCACAGCCAAAAAATACGTTTGGCATGTGTTCAAATCACTTTGGGTGAAGCATATAGCCATCAAAGTACAAATATAGTATAAATATCACCTGAGGAATGGAACTTTGTCTATAATTTCTTATATTTCAAGGGACTGAAGCAATTTTTGGATGGAGCTGACAATGGAGTCATCTATTTCAGTTTGGGGAGTAATGTGAAATCCAAAACCATGTCAAACGAATTCAAAAAAGCCATCATAGGAGCCTTCGCTGAAATACCGTACAAAGTTCTTATGAAGATAGATGGTGAGCTGGAAGGCATTATTAATTGGCGCTTCGGGGCGACTTCATTGATTCCAGTTGCGCATTTGCTTTTTCAGCTGCCGAAAAAACCTGCAGCACCACATCATCTGAACATCTTGATCTGCCAATGACCTCTCTCTCATAAAACAAAATGTAGGGTGTCTCCAGAGGCTCCAATAGATTAAATACATCGCCAGAACACTTCGTACACTACTATCGTTAAACTTAAACCAGTCCGTTTCGTCTTTGACGAAGGCGTAATAAAGACCAAATTTTTTGGCTGCAAATTTTTGTAATAATTGAATAGCTAACCAAGGATTCAACCGTTGGCAGACCAAGTCACCGGACCTAACGCCTATGGACTTTTATCTCTGGGAAAGGTTGAAATATCTCATTTTTGAATTGCTGACCAATTCTAGATACGGATTGGGAGCAGCAGTGATGCAAAGTTTTGCTTCTTTCTCAAAGTTTCTGAACTAATTAATTCAGCAAAAAACCTTCAGAAGAGGTGATACCTGTGTGTACGAGAAGCTGGTAGACATTTCAAACACCTTCTCTAAAGAAATATATTTCATTGTTCGTTTCTTATCATTATTATTATTACTGTTGAAGTTTCATTTATTAGTATTAAATACTAAAAAAAGCTGGTTATCAGTTTTATTCAAACTATGCTCAAAAGCTCTGTATTTCAAAGATGACTCTAACAAAATATCAAGTGTGCTAGATTTTTTGAAAGGTAATTTTAGGCTCTATTGAAATATGCAGGAATATAGATGGTATCTCATTGTATCGCCTTTGGGGGCGATTCAACGATTACAGCGGTCATACAATTTTTTGATATCATCGAAGCTAAATATCTTTCCAGCGAGGTCTGAGAACAGTAAAAAGTCACTGGGAGCAGATCTGGAGGATACGGTGGATGCGGAAACAATTTCAACCTCAATTCATGTAATTTTGCCATTGTTTTCATTGATTTGTGACACGGTGCATTGTTCTTTTTCTTCAAATGGATCTGTTTATCCACGATTTCGTCTTTCAAACGCTCCAATATATAGTTATAGTCTCTGTTCCTTTTTATTCATTTTCTTCACACTGACAAATGTTGCTTCACTCAAGATGTTCTGTCCCACAAACTAACAGTCCGACAGCTGTGAAATTTGTACATGTGCCTTTTGAAGGTTAGAGTTTACTAAAAATCATATGGATTCAATACTAGTAGCTCCATCTGTGTGATAGGCCACGAGCTTTTCAGCCCACCCAATACGTTGACTGCGAGGACAAATATTGTATCTCGAAGTTCAACGAAATGACTGACTGACAGGTTAGGTTAGATAAGGTTATATCTAGAAGCCAACGCACATACCACTGATGATGTTTACCGCATTAACAGAAGAAACGTTTGGTACTTCAGGTTCCATTCGGCTAAAAGACCGAATTTTGTTCTTTTTAACCGTGACTCTATTCGTGAAAGCCTATGTTCTCATGATTATAGTACCGATTCATATATTCCTGGAATATTTGCAAAAATCAGAGAAATTTCAATGGGAATGATACTGGAGTATTAGGTATTATCAGTTCAAACTTTCTCTAGTTTCAATTTCAACACTTGAACAATCGTATATACTGTAATAAATGACCGCCTGGTCTAAATTGGCGATCCCTACATACTACTAATAATATATAATAATCATCTCAGTTTACTCGCACCAGAAAAATTCACCCCCCTGTATATGGGATCGTTCAGCCAAAGGTATTTATTTTCTTAATTTAGTTTGGTAGCGTGAAAGTTGCTGCCACCAGATCAGAAAAAGTTTGAAATCCGTCCTGATCACACGGATTGAGAATTAGTAGGCAACTTGGTCAACAGTTGACTTTTTCCTACCTTCTAATCTTCGTGGAGAAATGGCTTGGTTATGCCACCAATTATATCCTCGGAGACTGGATTCGGCCACGGCTTAAATGCGTGGTCTTTTAGGGGTTTGAGGAAATGAAATAATATTAGCAAAGTTTTCACAAACCAACTTTATTAATGAGTAAAGTTGGCAGAATAATCGGATTAACAATAGAAAAAAAATTAAATGAACAGAACTAATACTGNTTACTGCTACTTCTGCGAAAGCCGGTGCTGGTGCGTCATCAGCAGAAAGTTCCAAACTACAGAAATATCAGAATTTGGCAAATGATTATATCTTTCGCCCAACAGCTGTTAAAACTTTTGGTTCTGAAGCATTATCTTCCATCAATGAAATTGGAAAAATTATAACCATGTAAACCCACGATTCAAGAGCCACATTTTTTCTCATTCAAAAAATGAATATAGCCATCCAAAGAGAAAATGCGGCTTCCTGATTCTAAAAAACTAATGAAAGGTATTAACTTACCACTTTATGGAGTTTGATCAAAAGTAAATATTAAAATTACTTTATCTCAGCAAAATTCTAAAAAAATTTCCACAGATTTTTCGAATTGTTCAATAATAATCCCTCACTCATAACCCTTGGGGCTTAATGGGTTAATATTGGCAAAATCTGTTTCATGAATATTGTAATCCAATGTTTATGAAACACGAGATGGTTATTAGAATATTCGAAAAAGGAAAAATACATGAAAGATATCAATACTGGTAGTTGTAGTAGGGAGGGTGCTTCAATCAAAGCGTTCGCATAAGTCATTGAGGAATTGTGATCAGAAGATTCGTCTGATAGAGTAGTCAATACAGTTTCCTAAAAAACTCAGGTTCAAAGTTTGGCCCCTCAATGTATGGGCGCATAAATTTTTTAGAAGGTTTACATAAGTTAGGAATCACACGTTAAAAGGTAAGACCTTAGCTCGCACAAGTTTCGACTTCTGAGGGTTGTCGTTCGTAGGGATGCGACAGCTGATTAACGGAAAAACAGATTTTAAACAGATTTTCTTTAAGAACGTTAATAGAATTAATGAGAAACCTAAACCGATCTTAACGGAGATTGACAACATATTTAGCGACAGCGGAAAAGCACAAGGGGCATGGCTGATTTATTTGAGTACATATAACTCTATGATTGTAGATAATTTCGTTAAAGAAATGGCCAATTGAGTTTATCACAGTGCTTGGATTTCTTCACAAGAGAGTAATAGGGAATGTATGAATTTTATTCACATTAGAGTAATAAATAGTTTATGGTAGCGGTTGTTCATATTAACTTCCCTCATCAACCCATAAATAACAATTATATTATTATAAAGCTGTGAGAAACTCAACCATGCTCTGTTACGCTGATGATACTCAGTAATATCTGGAGTTTGTTGAGAATCTGGTAATTCTTGCTCTACAGCAAGGATACTTATATCTTTGCCAAGTAAATATTGCCTCACCATCAATGCATTAGAATCCAATGTCATGCTTCTTGGTAGAGCAGTAGCTCTGTGAGAAACTCAACCATGCACTGTTAGGCTGATGATACTCAGTAATATCTGGAGTTTGTTGAGAATCTGGTAATTCTTGCTCTACAGCAAGAGCAGTAGCTCTACCAAGTAGTTAACACGAGGACATGCAGTACAACTTCCCCTCAAAAACTTCAACGAGAACCTGGGTTTATTTGCGATTCAAATGACACGTCTCCTATATTCTGAAGCGGAGTTATGCAAATTGGAAGATGATTCACTCCAATACAGCATTTTACCAAAACAAATGACCAAAATGAAAATTCTATCCGAAACAACTAATATATTGATAACACAGTTACCTCAGCAGAACAAAATACGGTTTTAGTACGCTCCTGATGATGCTACATTGGTTAGCGAAACACGCGTCGGGAGACAGTATTCTGTTCAAGTGTGGGAAACGTGTTTTCAGTAGCCCCACTGGTAATGAAATGTAAGAGTCAGTATTATCAAAAAACAATGTCTGGTGTGGTATATTTTGAACGGGCGAATTATATTGGTCCTCTCTTTTTTACGAAAACAATCACTTCGAACAGGTGTTCAGTTCCACTCAACATAAGTTCTGAGAACTAACATAACAATTCATCGGTGTTATTGTTTTCAGGTATTAGCTAATTGAAACAAGTTCTATTTATCAATCATTCAAGATAAGAGATTTTCCTATAAATAATTTGCGATTGTCGATAAAAATCATTGTCGCATATGTATCACCATGCTGTTCAAATTACTGTGCGTTGTCCTGCAGATTCTTGGAATCCATTCCGCAAGAATACTGACCATAATTCCGACAGCATTTTCCAGTCATCATTCGCCGTTTCAACCGTTGTGGCGAGAACTTGCTTTGAGAGGCCATCAACTTACCGTACTGACAACTGACCCTCAGAAAAACACATCGCTAATCAATCTGAAGGAGATTGATATGAGCTATACTTACGATATCTACAGGAAATACAACTTCACAGAATTGCTCAGCAGCACCGACAGTATAATGGAACTAGGCTCCAAAGCTGCAGTTATGTTTGATGAAGTCCAGCATACTCAACTGTCTTCTCCTGAAGTCCAAGAACTGATTCACAATAAAAACATCCACTTCGATCTGTTAATGATAGAAGCGCAGTCCCCAGAATTGCTGGGATTTGCTTGGAGGTTTCAATGTCCAACCATAGCCATCACCACCCTAGATTGTGCTATGCAGTACCATGATTCTCTGGGGAATCCTATCCATCCAGTTATCAACCCAGACTTCAACTTAGAAGTGGGGCATCCGGAAGAGATGGGTTTTGCAGATCGACTTCGAAGTTTTCTCTTCATTCCTCTGTATAAGTATTTCATGTATCACATGACCTATCCGAGAATTCACAATGCAGCTAGAAAATTCTTCGGTGATGATTTGCCACCTCTGAAAGAAATACAAGACAACATAAGTATGTTGTTCATCAGTACTCATCCTCTGTTCCACAATATTAGGCCTTTGAATCCGAATACTATCACGATTGGGGGAGGAATGCATATAAGACAACCGAAACCCTTACCTGAGGTAAGTGATTGGTTTTTAAGTACTTTCAATCATCGTTTCTATGTTTTTTCTCAAACTGGCCCAAGCAGAGTTACACCCTTGCTAATGAAATCGTTAATATTATAAGAAAATAACTATAAATATAATTGTGTTGTCATTCATAAAACATAAAAAATTGCTCTGTTCTCTATTTGGAAAAATTATTGCTCCTTCTACTATATTGTTTCATCCAAGAAAGCAAATAGGTGCGTTACAAAACGCATTATGATTCACTTCAGATAAACCGATACATAAGCTATCTGAAATTTTTTTTTGACTTTGATCACTGTTCAATGATAGATTTTTTTCATTTTATATCTGATTATATTGATATTTGATGGAAGTTTCCGAGAAAAGTAATTGAAAACCCGGTACTGTGAGATTACAAGATTGCGACAAGTATTTCACTCAACAATAACTTTATCAGACGTATCAAAATACGCTTTGGACACATCTCAAGCAGCCATTATACAGGAAGTTTCTTACACTCGATACAGTCATCAGACATGTTTTGATCTCTTTTGGAGTACTGGTACTAAGTGGGCCAAATTGCACACTTTTGAAGGAAAACTTTTGTTTTCAAACTAGATATCGATATCTATCATCGTTTCTGGGTTAAAGCATGTTTTTCGAAAATAAGTTGCCGTAACTTTTTACCTGTCAGGAATTTATTGTTTCTATGAAAACATTTTCAAAGTACTTTTTTACGTAGAATCCAGTTATGTAAAAAACTTATTTTTTAGATAGAGCTTGAAATTACCTTTCCAAAACTGTAGCACACTTGACGTTTTGCTAGAGTCATCTTTGAAATACAGAGCTTTTAGGTTTTTTCATGTAGACATGTACACTTTGATCAAGTAAGCTGTGGACGAATACCTAGTTTTTTCCAGTAAACAAATGACTATATGGATAACTGTTCATTTTTGGTAAAGAGTGTGTTTCATAAACTTACATTAAAATTATGCCAGGTACCTATTGAAAAATGTCAAAATAAACAGGGTATTATGTTTGAATTTAGGAAGTTCGTACCAATTTCCGGTATAGCCGGAAGTGTTGTAAAAACGCCATTATATTCATTCGATACAGCATAATCAAAAAACTATGTTAGCCAATTTTCAGGATTCCAATCCTATAATTTCCCAAAATTCTGCTAATTGACGGTCATCGCGGTGTACCCTGTTCGAGGTCTATCCAAAATATAAGGTGAATTATGTGAATATGTGCGAGAAGAGTATAATAGCATAAAAAAATAAAAAAATCGCCAATCGAATTTACGCAGCCCACGTAAATTCGATCAATCCCAAGAAGACTGAGATGGTCCTTCTCACCAGGAAAAGAAGTTTATTGGGCTCAAAACCTGCAGAAATCTTCAAAAGCAAACTGAACTTCTTTGATGAGGTGAAATACCTTGGAACTATCCTCGACAGGAAGTTAACATGGAACTCTCACCTACAGAGTAAAGCAAAAAGAGCATGTGTGGCTTATGTCGAAGGACAGTGGAACGCGTNTAATGAATTTTAACTGATCAGTAATCAGGAAATGTATAAGTATTACTCATTACAAGCTCATTACTGATTTTTGTCATAAATAATACCTTTTAATCGTACTAGTATTGTGTATTATCTATAATTTGCCACAACCTACAACTCTACTGCTTACTATATTTTGATTCTGCTATAAACTGGTAACGTAAAATTTAGATATGACAACGCGCTTTACTCTCAATCATTATTGGTTTTACTATAGTGTTCGGCGAGTCTTGGCCCACACCTGCCGATATAAAGGAGATGTCTCCCAGTGACCTGTCCACCTTCCTGGAAAGGACAGGATGGACAATGACCTAGGAGGACAACTTCTAGGGAGGATGTAAAATGGGCCACATGTGGCCTAAATGCTGTGGGTCTACACGTACCCTCCCTACCCTACAGATACAGATACGCAGCCCGCGGAATTTTAACAGTCACTTTATTTTTTGAACAAACCTCGTATATGAATCTGTCTATTGGAATATTTTTAAAGCGGAATCTGTCAAATGACTTTCGATAAAGTATTTTTCCCCTGATTTCCCGAGCTGAATAATGATGTGCATGAAAAGTAATTAGTATAAGATGATTTTTTCAAGGATTTGAAAAAGTTCTTGGATGGAGCTGAAAATGGAGCGATTTACTTCGCCCTGGGAGGTAATGTCAATTGTGAATCCATGTCCAATGAATTCCGAAAAACCCTCGTGGATGCTTTCGCCCAGATTCCGTATAAAGTACTGATAAAAATAGATTGTCAATTAGGTGATATTTCCAGTAACGTCTTGGTCCAAAAATGGGTTCCACAGCAGGATATACTCCGTAAGTTATCACTTTTTCTTTCTAGAATATATTGGGCTTGCATTGACGAGCAAAATCATTCAGTTTGTTTCAAAAAATAATTTTCACGATCAGATTAAATGAAAATTATATTTTCGTCATTCACTGAAAATCACTTCCAAATGTATGAACAGTTCAGTTGTTGAATTTATTCCGGAACTGAACTTCAGCCTTTATTTTCAAAAATATTCTGTGAAAAAGAAAGTCTTAATCTATTTTTTTTTTTAAATAATGAAGAATTTCATTATTAATATTTTCAAATGTATAATAATACTTAGGTTTCGATATAGAAAAATAGAATTTCATTAAGCTTTGAGTTAATGTTCAGAGAAATCAAATTTAAAATTACTACAATATAGCAAATATCAAAATATCATATTATTCACATTCGTGAAAAATATGTATCACAATGGGAAGAGACGCTCAAAGTATTGATGAAAAGTAATATGTGTGATGTAGCCATATTTATTATAGTTTATAAAATATTTAAACATAAAATTTGAAAAAAAACGCTGTTTTTTTAAAACAAATGCTATAAATGGAATAAATAATTGGGTTTGGATTTTGGGCTGAATTTGTTCTTTAATTATTAGAGAATGAATAAGTGTATTTCATCAGTTCAGACTTCCATTGTCTAATGTAATATAAATTGACTTGAAATCCCTGACAAAAAATAAAAAGATTAACCGAAAAGTAACAATTTTATTGAACAAAAAACTGAAATAACCAAAAAATAACCAAAAAAATTAAAAAAATTGAAAAGTTATTACAAGCTGAAAATAAAAAATATCAACAAGAAATGAAACTAGAAATTAAAAAATTCCAAACCAAGTTACGTCACGACGTTTCGATTGTTAGTATCCACAAAATGTGCAGAGTGATCGACTATATCTTGTGATGAATCCACTGGAATAATTGGTATCTAAACTATTTTTCAGGGCACCGCAATGTTAAGTTGTTTATAACACATGGTGGAATTTTGTCGCTTCAAGAAGCCGTTATCAACAATATACCTGTTATCGGCATTCCCTTCTTTGGTGATCAAAAAACAAATTTGAATAAAATTGTTAAATGGGGAAGCGGAATAAAACTGGATAGGAGGAAACTATCCAAAAATGTATTATTATATGCCATCAACGAAGTGATAAATAACCCCAAGTAAGTATTATATCGTTCCTTAGTTGAATTAGTTTGAGATTACCTATATGAGTATGGCCAACGACATCTCCCCTCACGAAAACGCCATCTATTTGATCGACAGAGAACTCTAATATCGAAGATAAACGGAGCTCCCCTAGGCGGTTCGTTGCAGAACCCAGCTTTGTCATCTGTCTTCAACTGCAGCTTTCATTGCATGGCAAAGGATTGAAAACCAGAGCCCAAACACGAAGCATTCATTTTTAAGCCCAGACATGGCTGTTTCTACCCATCAGGTATCTTCAGTGTAACTGGACTGATCCACAAATGCGTTTCTCCACCATTCTCTCGACTAGAACGCGTCTGTACGCGTTCTAGTCGCATTCTCGGCGATGGCGCTTCATTTCTTAGGCCGCCCCTCTACCCCCGCGCATCATCCCCCGTCGTCTTACAGTAGACGCGACGCGTATATTCAAACTGCGTTGCGTCAGGTTAACCATATCGTTATTACTTTCAAAAGATGCGTGTAAGTTTATCTATATTAGATACTTGAAACGACAATTGTATCAATTTTTATAAGAATTTGACAGATATTCTAGAATGTGCATTGTGAAAAAAATATCCAATTCAATTGTATTTATGGTTCAGTAGTTTGCATATAGTGGCTACCACATAACATACAAATCATGACTTTTTCATCGCGATAATGCACCTGCCTACTTGTCATTGCTTGTTCGTAATTTTTTGGCCAAAAACAGCATCGTGATCATGCATCAGCCACCTTATTTACCAGATTTGGCCCCCTGCGACTTTTCCCTGTTACCAAGATTGAAGAGACTCATGAGAGGACGGCGTTTTGCGACGATTATAGAGATGAAAACCGAATCGCTGAAAAAGCTCATATTTTTTCTTGAACCTAAACCACAAGCACTATAGGCACCACGCTAAGAGTGCTTTAAGGCGCTTTCAGAGCGGTGTCTGTGCAAAATTAGCGATTCACGTTGGATTTGAATCGCTGGAGATCAGTTCTCCAAATTAAAGAGTTCTTGAATAGTGAAGTTCGAGGTGTACTGAGTTGAACCTCAAAACGATGAGCAGCCACCGTCTTTGCGGGAAGAGACAGAGTTCTTTAATTCATATTTTTTTAAACGCCGAATCTGTCTCTCATACAATGTAAGTTACGGCAAGAGCGAGAGTGTTTATGTAAACAATATTCATTGGAGTGTTTTGAAAAATCAGATATATTTGCCACGTAGCTCAAGATGTAATTACGGGCATATCAATATCCCAGCATTGAAAGTTATGTCAACGCATCGAAATATGTTTTCTGATGACCTATGTTGAACGTGGACGACGGTTACGAAGAACGATTTGAGGAACGAAGGGGCACGGAGCACTCGTGATTTCTTCCTGGGATTTCTAGGAGCTGAAGCAGCGGTCTTAGAGTGGTGCGAAATTTTCTCGGGAAGTAAGTCTGTGTGAATTTTGAAGAGGCAAAGATGATATGAACTATTTTAGAGTACGGATATAAACAGGGTCGCTTTTATCTTTTTAGGAATGAACACTATCGACCTTTCGAAATTGTCAAGCGACGAAGCATTTGCCCTCCTCGATGAGGAGACATCAGATCAAGAAGGAATAACAGACCGGCAGGCCATAGACTCAGACATAGGTGGGGACTCGAACGCAGAAGACGATTTTCCGTATGAGTCAACTCTTTCCATTCGATCGAATAGCCATTTGTGCTCCTCAAGTTCTTCTTCAAGATCTACTCCCACTCTGAATGTAGATTCGACTTCTCTGTAGACATCAGGCTGTAGACCAAAGACGCGACGTCAAATATTACCTCCTAAAAGAATACGTCGTCAGTCTCCAACTGTTGATCCAGAAGAATCGGACCCAGATTATACTTTCGATGAAAAAAATAGTAAAACGAAACCGCCCCGCCGTCATGCTTTTGTTTCCTCAAGCGAGCCTTCCGAAGCTAGTGAAGAGGAAACGATTAAAGCTGAAGTAGCACCGGCAAAAATAAATCCATGTGATAACGCAGGAGCAATAAAGTGGGAAAAAGCTTCTCCACTTCCCAACCTTTCTTTCAAGTCATTCATCTTTCATCGACCTTTTGGAGTGGTAGATAGGATTTCCACTAATGATGTCCTATTCATTTTTGAAACAAATTTTGACGACATCATTATGAAAACTTTTGTAGAACAGATCAATTTATATGCATTACAAAAAGGTGTGAAACTGGATTTGAATATTGTTGAGTTGAAAGCTTTCTTTGGACTATTGTTACTGTTTGAAATCAACAATTTACCGATTATCAGAATGTACTGGTCAAACAATCACAATTTTCATAATGAGAGAGTTTCAAAGGTTATGACAATGAAAAGGCTTTTGAAAATATTGAGGTTTCTCCATTTGGCTGACAATGAACGAATGCCCAAAAAAGGTGAAGATGGATATAACAAATTATATAAAGTGCAGCCTCTACTTACCCATCTTTCTTCCAAATTCAAGGAAAGTTTCGCACCATCAAGATTTATTTCTATCGACGAGAGTATGGTGGCATTCAAAGGTCGGTCAACGCTGAAACAGTATATGCCTCTGAAACCCATCAAGAGAGGGATCAAAGTGTGGGCAATGGCTTATGCAAACACAGGATATATGGTAGATTTCGATGTGTACCAAGGAAAGTCTGAAAATCCTGACAATCTTGCTTTGGGAGAGAAAGTTGTTGTGAATTTATCGAAACCTCTCTCAGGGCATGGTTACTGCTTGTATTTTGACAATTTTTTCTCATCATTTCCATTGCTTCGAAGGTTATTGGATGACAAAATATTTGCTTGCGGAACATTTCGTTCCAACCGAAAACAATTTCCCCATGACAAACTTTGTCCAAATAAAGCTTTATCGTTAGGACAATTCGATTTTGCTTCTTCAGGTGACATAACAGTGTACAAATGGAAAGACAGAAGTACCAATCCCGTCATATTGGCGAGCAATATGCATGATCCATCTGATAAAGCCTTGGTTCAGAGGAGAAATAAAAGAGGAGAGAAAGAGGATATAATTTGTCCAAGAGCGATCCGGGATTATAACCTGCACATGGGAGGCGTTGATCACTTTGATCAGTTACATTCAACATATAATATTTCATGGAAATCGCGTAAGTGGTGGATAAAATTATTTTTCTATTTCCTTGATGCAGCTGTGGTGAATTCGTACATAATGTACAAGACTCAATATATTAGTGAAAATCACGCTTCCAAGTGCATGACGCATTTGCAATTTAGGAGTTGCCTGATAGATCAGCTCATTGGAACATTTTCCAGTATACAGAAACGAGGGAGGTCAATTGATGAAGGAAGGACTGGCCGAAAAAATAATAGTCGATATGCGAGGGGGACTGTACATTTGACGATTTTTTCAGGTTTTTCAAGATACTTTGCAGTTTATATATGCAGTTGACCACTTATTATATGAAGAAAAGTTGAAAACAAAAATTACAATAATTGGTCCTATAGAGGGTTAAGCAGACTTTTATTTCAAAATCTACCATACTAACCTCTTGGAAGGAAGTGTCTGCAAATTTTTAGGATCTTTTCTCTCCGCAACCAAAGACCTCCTCCTAATGCAGGAGGCAGAATTCAAGCCTGTTTCGGACTTGCCTAACATCCAAAATTTGATGTGGAAAAATTCGCATCTGGTGACAGCAGATGCTAAATTTTATTTGAATAAAACAAACACGGCAATAGTGAAAGAGTTACCGAGGGTTGATAGGCAGTTAATGACGTATTATTCCACTGGTGACTCATCTATAAACCCGTAGAGGTTTCACTGAGATACGTATATATAATAATAATGGTAAAACCGTTTCGGGTTTACTACAGAGCTCCTCACATGAGAACAATACTCCAAAAAAGGTCTGATCTGAGCTTTATAAAGCCTCAAAAGTTGCTGAGGTGTGTACAGTTCTCTGGTTCAGAACAGTGTTCTGAGTGCATATAACAACTGCTTCGAGGATTGGAAAAACGCTGGCCCAAGTATATTATATCTGAGGGGTACTACTTTGAAGAAAATAAAAACTTATGAATTGGTAAATATTTTTTGATAAAAATGAACAGGCAGCGAATTTGTAAATAGTATATTTCGAATGATTGATTTCTTCCTTCAGTCGGAAGGCTCCCAAATGTTTCGTATAACAACGGAGAAGAAAGCCAAATACATAGTATTTTTCCCAACCAACCTTGCTAGCTTATCCCATTCAAAGGGTGTGGAAAATACTTTTTACGACCACACCGTATAAGTATAACGGCTTTACCTGTTACAGATACTCAGGACAGAAAATACGTATTTTTATTTTACAGATATCGTGAGAAGGCCAGGGAGATGGGAGACATATATAGAGACGAAGAGATTCCTAGTCTACAAAGAGCAATCTATTGGACCGAATATGTAATCAGGAACAAAGGAGCAAGACATCTGAGAAGCCTTGCGGTGAAAATGCCTGCCTGGAAATATTATATGTTAGATGTAATTGCATTCTTAACTTCGATTGTATTGTTGATTACGTTTGTTTGTTATTTGGCTTTGAAATTCTTTTTTAGATCAATTTCAAGGCTTTCTATAAATAAGTTCTCAGAAAAGAAGTATAACTAATGTGACTGAATTTTGACAATTTTGTTAATATGAATATTTTTCAAAGTTGAAATAATTTCAATTCGAGGCATTGTCTATATAGGGTACTGCACAATGTCTGTCGGTTGGGAAATAATGGGATTCCTATCCTGAAAACTGGCAAATATAGTTTTTTCAATATGCTTCATCGAATGAAAATGATGTCGTTTCTTTAACCTTTTCCGGTTATACCGGAAGTTGGTACCAATTTACCTAATTCAAATGTAACACCCTGTATATTTTTATATTTTTTAATACATGGCATAATTCTGATAAGAGTTTATGTGATACACCCTATACCACCAAAAATTAACCGTTTTCGAGATATTCATTTATGTAAAAAAATTGGTATTCGGCTCTCGTGTGCTATATGAATACACCTACAAGACCATAGATGAATTAGAAAACAGAATCATACAAAAAAATACAGAACAAGGATCAAACTACTCCAACAGATAAAACAACAGAACGATGGACTGCATTCACATACGTAGGTCACCAAACCGCAAAACTAACAAACATCTTCAAGCAATTGAACATCAACATCACATACAAGCCAAACACGAAAATAACACAAAAAATAAACAGCTATGAAAAAGAAGAAGACGAAAACCAAAACGGGATATACAGCATACAATGCTCGGACTGCAACAAATTCTATATCGGCCAAACCAGAAAAAAACTGATCCAAAGGTACGATGAGCACAAAAAGGCATACATACACCCAATAGTATATAAATCAAACCATACAAAACAAACATAACTTCCCCCCACCAGAGAACATGAAACTCATAAAACAAGTCAATAAGGGAAACCGCATGGACATTTGGGAATTTATTTACATAAATTTAACAGTCAAAAATCATTTATCGAGGAACAAGTACAAATCACACGTACAACACAACAAGACCTAACATTCAATATATTAAACAAATCAATACACACTCCTAGAAACAGTAAACCTAGAGAAGATTCAACACAAAGAATATTACCTGATGTAAACCAAATACACGCAAATTTACCTAAAGTACCAGAAGTACCTGTATTGAGGCGTTCGGACCGTATAACAGGACACATATTATAGCATATTAATAACTAACAAATAATTGAAATGAATCACAGTAAAACAAAAACACTAATGAGATTTATGTAATTGTGATTTTCCACCGACAATACTTTGTAGTTGTGGATCAATTTTACTTGTACCAATTATCAAAAGAGATTT